GGAATTGAAGAAGAAGAAGAAGAGGAGATCGGACCGCCCTTTTACCTCTGACCACTACCACCGCCTCGTTGCCTCACCTTTACTCCGAGATTCGCTGCTCTCAATTTACAGGAAAAGATCGGAAGAGCAAAGGAGAAGAAAGAAGTAAAAGAAGAAGAAGGAGAAAGAAGAAGAAGATGATGATAAGAGAAGAGAGAAGAAGAAGAGAGAAAAAAGAAGAAAGAAAAAAGTGACGGCTGGGGAAAGGAAATGGGTGGGGAAGGAAAAAGAAAAAGAAAGGATAGGGAGTGGGTGGGGAGGGTAATTTAGACTTTTTGGTATAAAAAACTTTCCAAAAATAGAAACGGGAAGATTATTTTTGGACGGACGAAAAAGGAAAGTGAGAACTTTATTTATGGACGGAGGGAGTAGTTTTTTAATATGTAATTTTTATTTTTCAATTTTATACCATTTTTCATATAAAATGATTTGAAAATAACTTCAGTCAAACATCGTAACGCGTAATGTAAAGTTTATTTGTGCACGGAGGGAGTAATTTTTACGAAAATCAATACTTTATTGAGATACGAAATATTCAATTTAACGACATACACATGGAGTCTCCGAATGTAGCCCGGAGAAATACTGCCTTTTGGGCATCACTCTCCCAACCTTGGCCTATGGTTCTATATACGTATACGATGAGCGGTGATAGTGGTCTCCTATCGTTGCTCCGAAATACAAGTTTACGATAACTTCAAGTTGTTCAAACTTATGATAATATAAAAGTTTGAATATTATTCCCTACATATCAAATCATTTTTAAAAATCAATATTATAATAAATCAATTTTAAAACATTAATTTTAAAAGTGTTCAAAATATTAATTTGAGAATAAAATACTACTTTTTATATTTTTTAAAATAACTTTATATCATACAAAGAGTGTTTTTTAAAAACATTTTTACAAATATAATAGTTGAACGGGAAGTCCGTGCAATACGATTTTGTACATACCTCGAGTTCGAGAAAGAAAGTGAAACGGAGTTGTTGAAGACTAGTTAGAAACCGAGACTCTAGAGGTGTTATCAAGCTTTGCCAAAGAACAAAAAAATAGCAAAAAGTGTCTCAATAACTTGAAGAACACTAAAAAAATGCAGAATTTTCGGAAGGGTTTCCTTACCTTAAACGGGCTCTAAAGGAACCCTTGTTGGCTCTAATTTCTTCTAGTCTTCTGGGAAGAGGTTTGGTAGTGTATTAAAAGTAAAATAACTTAAAATTTTTGTGGCTATATAGGCTAAAAATGTGAATAAAGTTGTTGCAATATTGATAGGAAAGAATGGAGAAAAAATGAATAACTTTTGGGTGGTATTTATAGGTAAAAACTTGTAAAAACAACCAATAAAGATTACCTCAACTTGATCATGATAATTTAGATTTTTTTGGAGGATTTTAATATCATAAAATCAGGAACATATCAAAAAATCAAGAGAAGTGTAAAACTCTTCAAATGTGTCATCAACATCCATTAAAAATATTTTAAGAATATTTGATGATGTTTGGATTGATATGGAGAAATTCAATGTGATAAAGTAACTAAAAAGACTCCAAAATAGCTTAGAAAAAGATTCTCAAATAGTTCCAAAAAAAATTAATTAGGGAAGAGTTTTGATATTTTTCGGAATTATATCATTAATTTTCGTGTAAAGAAGAAAAAAAACTAAAAAAATAATTCCACTAAATAGAGTGGGATTTAAACTCTAGTGGCGTGAGTCACACTTTGCATCAACTTCCACTTTTCTATTCAACTTTTCATTTGTATTAATGATTTTTAACGTACTTATTCCATATTTCATAGTTTTTTTTGTGACCCAATTCTATTACTTAGCCCAAAATTAAATTAAGTTGGGTGCAATTCCAACTAATATTCCTAAACCATTTTTATAAGAATAATTTTTTTTTAACTATGATTCCAAATATATTTTATTATTTTTAGATTATCAAATTAATGTATTTAATTTTAATTTCTTTCTCATTTTTTTTATTATTTTTAACTAAATCTTTCTAGGCCTTATTTAAGAATGTTACAATTCTTCCCCCCTTAAAGAAATTTCATCCTCGAAATTTACATGTCATAGGATCAAACAAATATGGGTACTATATATTGTCGTATTGATTCTTCCGTCTCCCAAGTTGCTTCTTCTGTGGTATGATTCCTCCCGAGAACTTTGACAAGTGTCACTTTCTTGCTTCTGAGTTGACGGGTTTCTCGGTCAAGAATTTGAACAGGTTCTTCTTTGTATGTTAAGTTTTCATCCAAGGTTACCGTTCCTGGTTGTAGTATATGCGTTGGATCTGCCTGATACCTTCTCAACATTGATACGTGAAAAACGTCGTGTATCTTGTTGAGCTCGTTTGGTAATCTAAGATGATAGGCCACTAGCCCAATACGTTCAATGACTTCATACGGACCAATGTATCTTGGACTTAATTTTCCTTTCTTCCCAAATCCTAAGACAAGTTTCCACTGTGATACTTTGAGAAAGACATTTTCTCCGATTTGGTATTCCACGTCCTTCCGTTTGAGATCAACGTAGGATTTTTGACAATCATGGATGCAGCTTTGAGTTTGTATTGAATGGTCTTTACCTTGTCTTCAGTGTCTCAGACTATTTCAGGTCCAATTAATTTACGCTCACTTAATTCTGTCTAGCATACAAGAGTTCTGCACCTCTGTCCATATAGTGCTTCGTATGGTGCCATTTGAATGCTCGATTGATAACTATTATTGTATGCAAACTCCATTAGGGGTATATACTTTTCCCAGTTTCCTCCAAAGTCGATGACACAAGACCTCATCATGACTTCAAGAATCTGTATTACTGATAAGTCCGTTTTGTACGCACTTATCTTCTCTATATTTAATGTATTATTTTCTAATTTTGGATTAAATAAATTAATTTCTCAATGGTTTTATATCTTTTATTCATAATTGCAAAAGTGTAGAAAAGTTATGTCTTGTTGTAAAAAGAATAAAAATTGAGTCAAAAGTGGTACAAAAAGGTAAAAGATTGTGCAAATGGAATGCAACGGAGCAAGGAGACAAAAGATGGTGAAAATCCATGAAGTGAAAAATGTGCATTCAAATATGGCGATGCACCCCGTCAAAAGATTTGAGGTCAAATAAATTGAAATACCAAAAAGGAAATTGTTTGAAAGGAAAAGGTAAAAAAATGTTGATTCATATCAAAATTAATTTGTTTGACCCAAATTGGTTCGGAATTTGAAGTGGGCGCAGAAGAAAAAGTTGTTCAGAATAAAATTTTGAACAACACTGTATTTTTACAAAATATTTTTAGACCGGGTCAAAATCCGGCCTACCAGGTGCTGCCACGTGGCGCAACATTGCTGGCCGGCCAATTGTAGCAGCAAAATGTAGCAAGTGGTGGGGAGCCGTCAATTCACTATTGTCAAGTAAGAAAACAAAAAAAAAGAAGAAAGAAGAGAAGCAACTCACGCATAGAGTAAGAAAGAACAAAAAAACATTTGATTTGCAGATCATGGAAACACGGCCGCCATTCTCACCAAATCTGAAGCGTGCGCCTCTTCAGCTCAGGCGTGCGCCTGAAATCAATATTAGTGCTATAAAAAGGGCCTCGGCCCTTCATTCTCATCAAGCCTTCTTTAGGGTCTTTAAGGCCCGGAACTCCATTCTCCACTCTTTTCTCAATTATATTTTAATATTTTAGTTTAGTTTTGTTCTGGTTGTCCCAAAGTGGCTCCGACTCTGCTCTCTGTTGTAAGTTTTAATACTTGTAATTTTAATAAAATGTTTTTTTGTTTTATTCACTGTTAATATCTAGTATGAGTTAGGACCCAGATTAGGGTCTTGGCTAAATTTGGGCATATACTCTGTATGTTTAGTTAATAGTTGGAATAATTGTTCTAGAATTATTTTTATTGTTAAATTAATTATGTCGAGAGAAAAATTAATTAATAATTGGAAATTAGTTTTTGCCTTGTCCATGAGGATATAAAATTAATTAAGCCAAACTTTTTAGAACACATTAATGTTGCTTTGAGAGAGGATAAGTTAATGAAATATTTGTGACAGAAATATTATTATTCCAATTATTGATTAAATATGTGACAACAGTAGTTAACTCAGATGATGCCTTGACCCGAAGTCTAGTCCTATACCCGTACTATTTATTTTCTTTTTCTCAAAAAGAACCTAGTACTTTAGTTTACTTTCAAATCAAATCGAGAATACTTTCAGACCCGTCCTAACCTTCGTCTAGTTAGAAAAATTGGCTAATTCCCTTCGTCCACTCCTCGAGAGACACGACACTCGGAGAAAACTAACCCTTCATTGGGAAGGTTGACTTACCGAAAAACTCAAATATCAAATGGCGTCGTTGCCGGGGAGTGGCACGGTTTTAGTTTAATTTTTTTTAATTAGCTTAGGTGAAGACCGGTTAGGTCGATCTTCTCACCTCTTTTTCACAAGCTACCCGTAGTAATCATTAAAAATGAATTTTCGAGATGATTACTACGATCCACCTCCTTTCTACCAACCACCCAACCATCCACCATCATTTTCCCAACAGTCCAATTCCTATCCACCATCACCACCACCATATCATCCACATCAGGATTCATATTATGATGACTACTCCGTCAATAATGGACCTGATTATTATCCATACCATGAGGAAGCACCATACAATACCCCGTCTCGGAGCTTTGGATATTCTTCATACCAAGACAACTGTGGGGATTATTATGAACCTCATGGTGATCAAGATGATTATGACCAACAAGGGCCAATGTACGATGACCAGCTAGATCCACTTATTGAAGAGATTTTGTGGACTGAGGAAAGAATACTTTATCTTGACCTAGCATTAGTAATGGAGTGTTCATTATTTGAACCACCCTATTGCCGTGATTACTCTCTGACTCGTGAAGAGCAAATCGAAGCAAACAGAGATGCAATCCAGGCGAGAGAACGATTTCTCAAAATAGTCCAAGAAGAACGCCAACTGCTCCAAACCCAGAAAGATAACGAACAACGCGAATATTGGGAGCATATGCAAAAGATGCTGGAGGACTTTAAGAAGGCTATGGAACAACAAGAAGAGATGGAGGAAATTGTTGTTCTAGAAGAGGATGAAGAATCTGAGACAGAATCTGAAACTGAATCCAACAATGTCTCAATTCTTGAATACCCACAAACTCCATCACCACTGTATATCGAAAACAAGATAGCACTTGCAGAAATGATTGCAAGAGGTACAGTGGTGATGCTTCCTGAAAGCCCACAAAGTTTAATCGTACAAGGACCGAGGGTCCTGTCTCGGAACCGCCTTCACCAGCTGCACTAGAAACGTTGGAGGAACCTGTCCTCCTAACATGTGTTAAAGACACTTCTCTAGAGGAACCTGTTCTCGAGAAATCCGAGCCCACCACCGACCCCCTTGATTCCGATACTGACGAGTCTGACGAATCTATAGACGAAAAAATACCTTGTGATGCTGAACCCATTCCGTCTATAGAAACTATCACTGAAGACTCAGGGGAAGGACATGTTGTAATCATCGAGCCAGCAACTGAAAGTCAGCCCATTGAAGACTTAGAAAGTCAGATCCTGGCACTAAAGGCTAATGATGTGGATACACCGAGGAGACTCCCACCACCACCCATCCAAGATGAGTCTCCTCCATTTTTCCTGTTGCCACCAAGCCGCAGGAATGAGTCAAAGATCCTGGACTTTGACTGGAAAAGAACAGAACAAAGGTGGCATCAGAGGAGAGTCAAAAAGGTCAAACTTTATGACTCTCGGATCGGTAAGTCCCGTAAAAAACGGGCTAACGTCAAGCTAGTGACGCTAAAGAAGCGCTTCTTGGGAGGCAACCCAAGTGAATAATTTTATTTTTCTTTTTCGTTTTTATGTGTTTTTGTTTGTTTGTTTGTGTGTAGGTGGAGCTTGGAATTAGGAGTGCCGGTGAACCATTTTGACTCAATAAAAATGACTAACTTTTGTGCACAATATTTTTGTAAAAACATTTTCCAAAGAAAACTTGAGAATTGTCTCTGTCCCAAACTCTTGTTTTTATCGCTTAATGACCTCGAGGGCGAGGTCAACCCTAAGTGTGGGGAGATTGGAGTTTGGTATAGAATATTTTTATTTGTGTAGTAAAAACTTTTTGAAAATATTTTTATACAAATTGTTGCATTTTACATATTAATATTGATCTCTACACCGTTTACGAAATGACTGTCTAAGCTGGAATGGTACTTAAGTGGACGCAAAGGGTGACGCCTTCAGGAGCTGAACTTGTCCCACCATTCCTACTGGGTCACTCTGTGGAAAGGTTTATTCGGGTGAGCCTAAGAGCACCTAATTGGCAGCATTCTGCCCGATCCCGAATACTCTGAATCGGTCTAGTTATCACTATTGATACTTTTAAAATTGTTTTATACTTTTTACTCTTTTCATAGGTAGAATTATTTTTAAGAGCCCCCTTATGCAAAAATTAGCCAAAATTTTTAATTTTTTTTCTTTAAATTGCATATATAGTCTTTTTATTGGCTAACTTTAATAAGTTTTCTAAATAAATAAATTTGGATACTAATGTGTTGAAAATAAATCATTGATTTAGTGAATAGATTATTAACTTGTAAAATATGTTAAGGTCAAACATTTATAACTTGTCATTTAAAATGATGCTGTTCAATACTTGAAATTGAGTATGAGCAGTATACTTTTCTGAAAAAAATTTGATATTTCAATGATTGCATTGTAAGTTTTGGAACTAAAAAAAATTCAAAGAACACACATTGGTGAGACCGAGTTCTGGAGTGAATTCAAAGTCAAAAAGCATTTGGTTCTATGTCAGATGATGAGACTTATATTGAAGTGAGTGTCAAAAAGCATGCGGTTCTATGTCGGGTGATGAGGTTTTTGAGTGAATAAAAATCCAAAAAGCTCGTGGTTCCATGTCATGGGATGAGGATCAAAGTTTTTGCTTGTGTCGACATGACAAAGTGAAGTTCTACAAAAAAATTCCAAACTTACTCTTTGCATAGGAATAAATGATATTTTTAGAAAAGTTATTTTCAAAATTGTTTTTCAATGTACATATCTTTGACCTTAAATTATTTTACAGTTATTACAAAAACAGTTACAATTCTTTTGTTTTAGACATTAGTATCTAAGTTTGTAAATGGACAACTTTTACATTTAGCCAATAACATTAATTTCTTTGCATCTTTTATAAAAACAAATAAAAATATTTTGCTAACTTTTTGTAAAAAGGGTGCTATTTCTAGTAATTCTATTTTTGTAAAAAATAAATAGTGTAAAAGAGATTTGTGCAATAAATTGTTTAAAAGTGTGGTCAATAGTTTTTCCAAAATCTTTTTGTTAATATGTGTTGGATCCAGAATTTCATTTGTTGTTGTACTTTGTTGCTTGAGGGCAAGCAACGCTTAAGTGTGGGGAATTTGATAAGTCCGTTTTGTACGCACTTATCTTCTCTATATTTAATGTGTTATTGTCTAATTTTGGATTAAATAAATTAATTTCTCAATGGTTTTATATCTTTTATTCATAATTGCAAAAGTGTAGAAAAGTTATGTCTTGTTGTAAAAAGAATAAAAATTGAGTCAAAAGTGGTACAAAAAGGTAAAAGATTGTGCAAATGGAATGCAACGGAGCAAGGAGACAAAAGATGGTGAAAATCCATGAAGTGAAAAATGTGCATTCAAATATGGCGATGCACCCCGTCAAAAGATTTGAGGTCAAATAAATTGAAATACCAAAAAGGAAATTGTTTGAAAGGAAAAGGTAAAAAATGTTGATTCAATTCAAAATTAATTTGTTTGACCCAAATTGGTTCGGAATTTGAAGTGGGCGCAGAAGAAAAAGTTGTTCAGAATAAAATTTTGAACAACACTGTATTTTTACAAAATATTTTTGGACCGGGTCAAAATCCGGCCTACCAGGTGCTGCCACGTGGCGCAACATTGCTGGTCGGCCAATTGTAGCAGCAAAATGTAGCAAGTGGTGGGGAGCCGTCAATTCACTATTGTCAAGTAAGAAAACAAAAAGAAAGAAGAAAGAAGAGAAGCAACTCACGCATAGAGTAAGAAAGAACAAAAAAACATTTGATTTGCAGATCATGGAAACACAGCCGCCATTCTCACCAAATCGGAAGCGTGCGCCTCTTCAGCTCAGGCGTGCGCCTGAAATCAATATTAGTGCTATAAAAAGGGCCTCGACCCTTCATTCTCATCAAGCCTTCTTCCGGGTCTTTAAGGCCCGGAACTCCATTCTCCACTCTTTTCTCAATTATATTTTAATATTTTAGTTTAGTTTTGTTCCGGTTGTCCCAAAGTGGCTCCGACTCTGCTCTCTGTTGTAAGTTTTAATACTTGCAATTTTAATAAAATGTTCTTTTGTTTTATTCACTGTTAATATCAAGTATGGGTTAGGACCCAGATTAGGGTCTTGGCTAAATTTGGGCATATACTCTGTATGTTTAGTTAATAGTTGGAATAATTGTTCTAGAATTATTTTTATTGTTAAATTAATTATTTCGAGAGAAAAATTAATTAATAATTGGAAATTAGTTTTTGCCTTGTCCATGAGGATATAAAATTAATTAAGCCAAACTTTTTAGAACACATTAATGTTGCTTTGAGAGAGGATAAGTTAATGAAATATTTGTGACAGAAATATTATTATTCCAATTATTGATTAAATATGTGACAACAGTAGTTAACTCAGATGATGCCTTGACCCGAAGTCTAGTCCTATACCCGTACTATTTATTTTCTTTTCTCAAAAAGAACCTAGTACTTTAGTTTACTTTCAAATCAAATCGAGAATACTTTCAGACCCGTCCTAACCTTCGTCTAGTTAGAAAAATTAGCTAATTCCCTTTGTCCACTCCTCGAGAGACACGACACTCGGAGAAAACTAACCCTTCATTGGGAAGGTTGACTTACCGAAAAACTCAAACATCAATTACTCGCTATGATTGTCCATCTGTTTGAGGATGGAAAACTGTACTGAGGTGTAGCTTAGTTCCGAGAGCCTTTTGAAATGCTTGCCAAAATTGGGATGTGAACCTTGGGTCTCTGTCGGAAATGATAGAGAGGGGTATTCAATAAAGTCGTACAACTTCCTGAATGTAAAGTTCAGCCAGTCTTTGTAATGAAAAATCGCTTCGAATAGGTAAAAAGTGAGCCGATTTTGTGAGTTGATCCACGATTATCCAAACTGAATCATTCTTCTTTAGAGTTTGAGGTAGCCCAATGACGAAGTCCATCGTTATACGGTCCCATTTTCATTTAGGAATAGTGATAGGTTGTAGTAATACTGATGGGACTTGATGTTCGGCCTTAACTTGTTGACAAGTTAGATATCTCATTGTATACTCTGTGATGTCACGCTTCATGCCTTGCCACTAGTATTATTGTTTCAAGTCTTGGTACATTTTTGTACTACCAAGATGCATATGTAAGTTAGGGGTATAAACAGATATTAATCGGATCGGATGTGTCATTACCAAATTTGTATCCGTTTCTTTTTGTCGGATATCAAGTTCATATACGGATTTTGACGGATACTGAAAATCAAAACGGTATCCGCATCTGTCGGATATCGATTGGATATCAGATATATCCGTATCCGTTTCCAATTTTTAAAATCAAATTAAACAATACTTTAATTTTAAATTAGATTAAAGTCAAATTATTATTATTAAATCATTTATAATTTGTTATAGGATACTTATTTTCTTTGTTTTCATGATATATGATATTCTACGATAACTTTATATGATAAAAAGATATACACATCACAGTATACACATATTTTTATATGTCTGTACATATGATAAGTCCGTTTTGTACGCACTTATCTTCTCTATATTTAATGTGTTATTGTCCAATTTTGGATTAAACAAATCAATTTCTCAATGGTTTTTATATCTTTTATTCATAATTGCAAAAGTGCACAAAAGTTATGTCTTGTTGTAAAAAGAATAAAAATTGAGTCAAAAGTGGTACCAAAGTATAAAAGATTGTGCAGATGCAATGCAACGAAGCAAGGAGACAAAAGATGGTGAAAATCCTTGAAGTGAAAAATGTGTATTCAATTGTGGTGATGCGCCCCGTCAAAAGATTTGAGGTCAAACAAATTGAAAAAGCACCAAAAAGAAATTGTTTGGAAAGAAAAAGTTAAAAAAAATGTTGATTCAATTCAAAATTAATTTGTTTGACCTAAGTTGGTTCGGAATTTGAAGTCGGAACAGAAGGAAAAGTTGTTCAGAATAAAATTTTGAGCAAGACTGTGTTTTTAGAAAATATTTTCGGACCGGGTCAAAATCCGGCCAACCAGGTGCTGCCACGTGGCGCAACCTGGCCGGCTGGCCTACTGTGGCAGCAGCAGCAAGGGAGTTGCATCCAATTTCATGTGTCAACTCCAAATCATCATCATCAAATCAACAAAGTTAAAAAAATATAAAGAAGGTGAGAAAAACTTCACGCAAGAAAAAAATTGATTTGCCTCATTGTGCAAATCCGCCGCACATCATCAATCAGCAGCAGCACTAACTCCAGGCGTGCGCCTGGACCTCAAGCCCACGCCTGTCAGAGGCCTGGACCGAAAATTTCTCCTATAAAGGAGGGCTTCGCCCCTTCATTCTCACCAAGCTCCAATCCGGGTCTTTAAGGCCCGGAACTCCATTCTCCGCTCTTTTCTCATTTATATTTTAATATTTTAGTTTAGTTTTGTTTAGGTTGTCCCAAAGTGGCTTCAACTCTGCTCTCGGTTGTAAGTTTATTTTTACAACTTTTAATAAAATGTTCTTTTATTTTATGCACTGTTGATATTTAGTATGGGTTAGGACCCAGATTAGGGTATTGGCTAAATTGGGGCATATACTTTGTATGTTTATTTAATAGTTGGAATAATTGTTCTAGAATTATTTTTGTTGTTAAATTAATTAGTTATGTCGAGAGAAAAATTAATTAATTATTGGAAATTAGCTTTTGCCTTGTCTATGAGGATATAAAATTAATT